TCTCAAAATAAAATCCTTCAGAACATTCTTCTGCAAGTTCTTGATAAAAATTATGCAGCATTTCACCTGTCTTAATAAACGATCTACTATACCAAAAGGGTTTGGAATAACTCTAAGTCCTGAGCTTCTATTTCTTAAATCATTAGTTTTCTCCAGTAATGCTGAGAGCAGAGTGCTCTCTAGAGTATTTCATAACAAGACCCCATAAAGTAGTAGGAAGCTAATAGAAAACCTTCAGGAGATTAAACTAGGTTCTCAGCAAGTATAAATAGACATTGTGCCATTGCAGTGTGTGGATTCAGTTAATCTTGATGAAGTTTTTAGTAAACCCAATTTTCCCTCTGAGATAGTTCTTTGGTCCCTGTTCATATGGCAGATTACCAACATTAGCATGTTCTAATGAGGGCAAAATTTGAGGGAATCACAACAATACCAGGGCTGAAGAAAAACACAACTGTACAGAATAGCACACAAGTTGACCAAAGACTATATGATACATCACTGAGACTAGATGAGGTAGGAAGGAACCTCTGAAAGTCATCTTGTCCCCCAACCCAAGCACGGCCTCTTAGAGCCAGTTGCCTAGGACCATGACCAGGTGGCTTTTGAATATCTCCAAGGATAGAGGTGTATCCTAGCAATATACTGCCCCACTGGATGCCAGTGCTCAGTCAGCTGGGTAGCCCCCAGCATGCAGTCATGCATGGGATTGTAACTCCCCAGGGGAAGGACTTCACACTTCTCTTGGCTGAGCTTTGTCAAATGTTTAGTAATAGAGGCCTGGGGAAGAGCCAAGTCAATGGTGAAGAACAGGAGCAGTAGGACCAGTGGGGTCCCAAGAAGAATGTTACAGCAATGGTGACCATCAACTGCAGTGTGAGCGAGCAGAGAGCAAAACCTGAGAGGAGTGGATTGAGAAGCCAAGGGGAAATATGGAAGGGGAGAGAGGAAACTTACTGAAAAGGAAGCCTTAACATTTTGTGTCCAACTGGCAAAAGATAATTTGAAAACAGGCAAAATACAGAGCTTTTGCCACTTAGTTTTCTAAGATGAGCACATGGAAAAGAACAAATTCAGAAGCCATGACACTAAACTTCAATGTAACTGAAATCCTCCACAGCCTAAATCTATGAATTTACTTCATCTTTAGATGTAAACAACCAATTCATAGGTAACAGATGACATCTAAACTACTCATGCCTGAATGAATAGTTCCAAGTCAGAAACATTTGTTTCCAAGATAATTCACAGTGCTGCATAGCCAAGATCACCAAAAGTCTCTGCCTTCTTAGTTGTCACAATATATTGAAAATTAAGCAGATATGTTGGGTAGTAAGACAAAGCATTTCAATGCACTAATCATAATTTTTTATTTAAATGAAGGGCTTGAGTAGAATAAATCCCCATCACTTATCAGTTTAAACACTTTATATTAACTGAGCCACTCCAGTTACATTGTACCTCTATCATCAGAATTGTCTCTTCTAATAAAAAATAACATGTATCTTACGAATACAAAAATAATGTATATAAATATATACACACTGATCTCTGTAATGAATGAACATAAAAGAGCAATTGAGAGAAAATGTATCTTAGTATCATGAGAGTCTCAAAATGGTACCTAGACTGGTCACTCCAACATGGGAAAAAAAAATAATTGAAAGTCAAGTTCAAGATCTAAGTTTAAATGATATAAGCAGCAGTGAAATTAAGTTTCAGTCTACTTTTCAGGAAACCATTAAAAATACTTCAATTTTGCAACTGAGTATGACAGTAATCTTAGATCTGCCTTAAAAAAACTATTGGACTGGTTTGTGCTGACTCTAGTCTACAGACAGTGACACAGTATTTTTCTCTGGTTTTAAAAATCGCAAAAGGTTAAAACTTGTTAAGAGAATTTGATCAGAACATCAGAATCAAGGCTGAAAGAAAATACGAAGTGACACAGTGGACTGAAGCTACCTGCTAAAATCTGCAGAATTTTTAACTCTTTCAGAAGAAACAAGCAAAAGTAGTCCTTTCCATTTTCACCAAAAGGCTGTGAGTTTCCTTAAAGAGTGACTTGTATTTTTGCACCAAAAGCCTCTTTTGTCTTCAGAGCCATAGCAGGCCTGGTGCCAGCCTGTGTGCTTGCAAATCTTTCCTCTAGCTAGAGAATAGAAAGAGAAGACAATGCCAGAATGTGCTTGCTAGCCCCAAACAAAGAACCCAGTGCTATCAAAGCACTAGCAATCCTTGGTTCATGCTGCTTTGTTTCTGTCAGTGTGGGATATAAAAACATCATTGGTTGTATATTTTGATCGCAGAAATGAGTACCTTGTCATGTTTTAAATCAGAAACTGAAAGACTTAAGTGAACGTGACAGTATTTGAAATGTCCCATGCTGCCACACTTAAGATATGCCAATCATAATTAATAGCAACAGATTTGCTATTCCAAAACAAATAAAACCTGCAGAGTTTTTCTGCTGAATGAAGAGATGATGAGTGAAAACAGAAGCAAAATTGCCACAATAGCCAGTTAGCCTGTCAATGGAAATTACTTTCATTTGTCTGTCTTCACAAGGGTTAGTAAACAATAATGCTTCAGCTAATAAAGTTTTTGCTATATTCAAATTGAATGTGAAATACAGGCTGACATTATAAATGGATCTCTTTTTTGCATTGGATTTCTGAGGTCTTCTGAGTCTTTATGTTTAAATTGGTCTGTAAGTTTCGTGTATTTTGGTACGAACCTATTAAATGTGTCATTTTTCCTTCTAGCAAACTAAGGGTTGTGCTGCTTGTTGTTTGAAGGAGACATATATCTACAGCTTCTCCTCTCTCAGTAGGAACCAAGTAAATATTTTATATTATTCTAGTGGATTCTAAAGAGTTGTGTTGAAAACCTACTTGCTAAGGTGGTAAGATCTCTCTTTCTGTGAATAAATGCCCATCACCTTCCAAGTTCTGTGAATACCTGAAGTCCCACAACAGTTTTGGTGCTCCCAGCTGCCAGGTCCCACCATCAGGTTTTACTAATAATGAGTCACACCTCATGACACTTACCATGGAGAATGGATACAGATCTCCTTGAACAAATTCCTTTTTTTTTTCCCAGTAAATTCTGCCTTTTTTTGTCATCTGGTCCCACTTCCTTGAATCTATTTTATCCCTCATCTTCATGCTTAACTCAAGACTTCTCTCTAAGCCCTCCTCAAGCACTCATTTTACTGACTGGTCAAAGAAACCTTTTCTTTGTAAGCAAATTGAGCATCTATTGAAGGGCTCCCTTGAGGGCTACTACTCTGGACCTATGACTTAAGAAACTTTGGGACACCAGGCCACGTAGGTTTACTTGGATAGACATACGGCAAACAATTCAGATAGTCATTCCTGAGAGTGAAGTGTGTGATTAAACTAGCTTTGCCTTGTTTAAACCTTTGCTGGGCAGTCTCCTATAGCTTTTAGGGACTAATGATGTTGGGAGTACAGCAGGGATGCTAAGGCTAATACCAAGAAATAAACCTATGTAAAATTAGTTGCAATCATGCAGTAAAGAAACTAATTCACTAGTTTTAACCTAACAGGAAGACAGATGTAATGAGTCTAGTTCTGTAACAGACCAACTGCTTTCTCACAGTTGGATTCTGTAAACAATTACACTGAGAATATTTTGGACGGAAAGAAAACTTTATAAACCCACCCACATACATTCAAAAAACTTGTGTAGCTCTCAGCTGGCTCTGAAGTATTTCGTTTTCTCAGAAAAAAAAAATTTCCACAACAAACATGAAACAAACTCTTCAGCTTTCCTCAGCTCACCATCATTGCTAAAAGCAAATTATAATTTTAAAAGTAAGGTCTCTAGGTCAGTGTGTTTAAAATCATAGCTCTTGTGGAAATTCTAAACTACAGCTTTTCTTCTTTTTTTTTGCATAGTGGTGTTAATTTGGCTTTTCTTCCCTTCTAGGAGTTTCATACTTGATTTTCATGCATACCTTTAGCTTTTACAGGTGTCATCTAACTTTTTCTAAAAAGAATAATGTAATTTCTGCATTATATGTTGCCAGTGCTATATAAAATGGTGCTTTTACCTACAGTGTTTCATCCAAATTCATGTTAAAATCCAAAAAATTAAGTGGGAGTGTTGAGGCTGCAGCGGCCATTGCTCTTTGTAGAGCAGATGCTCCATGCAATTACAAATAGGTGTACCTGCAGTGCCAGTAGTGACTGATAAACAATTGCATGGGGATATGCCAGAAGGTATTCGTTCTGTTTTGTTGTCAGGTGATATTATCTAAATCTTCTTTATTCTCACATAAAGCTGTGTTTTTGCATTCCACTTTCCATTACAACTCTGATTTGTAGACCAGAATTTTAAGTAGTATGTACCAGGCCAAGAATCTGTAGTCCCTGATGTCTTTAGGATTCATGGTTATAGCTCTGCCAGAACAGGTAGATTGTGAAGAATTTGGGAATATAAACAGAATTGGAGAATAGCCTGGGCTATGCCAGATGCTAGAGGGTATTGAGAAAGCATCCAGGAACGCCAGAGAAGGTTGAGTCTGAACATTATATAGGAAAACTGAGATGTAGTAGAAGAAGGAGGAAAGAGTATCAGCTACAATAAGACCATTTTGCACTGGTGACTAGTCTAAACTTAACTTACCTCAAAAGCTAAATATCAACATTTTCTGTCTGACTGCATAAGAACACAGCACACACAATAATTCTACAGTATATGCAAAATACTTTTTTTTTCCCCCAGAGGAAAATCATCCAATTGTAGTATAATAGACAACTCCAAACCAAAACAAGCTAGCCTGTAGTGCTCTAAACATCTCATAGTTCCCACACTGGGCAGATAAATGTCTAGAAGCCTTATAGAAGAAGGCTTTCCAGTGCTTCCAGCCTCTCTGGGCTGTGGGAGCAAGGCAGGGAAGAGGAAGGTCTCTATAGCAATGGGGAGTATATACAGGTTTTCTCTCAGAGGCGGAGTTTCCCTCTGTTTCTTACCTTGTTGCACAAAGGATCCATACACAAACCACATGGAGTTGTAGAGGGTTGTGGAGGTCATGGATCCCATCTGAAGACGTGGGGGGTTGAGCCAATTCAAGAGGTAGACCAGTAGCCCTACTAACAGCACAGTGCCAGCTATGCACGCCCACAGGGAGAGGTCAAATGGTGCCAAGCAGGCAAACATGTCCACTGTCTTCTCTGCCTTTCGAAGCAGCACGCCCACTGAGTAGTCCATGTAACGTGTTGTGAAATCCACCACATTTTCCCTGTCAGGGGTGATGGTTAGGGCAGAGATCCCTATGTCAGCTCTCTGAGAAAAGAGAGAGAGAGAACAACATGCATGAGTGAGAGCTACAAAAAGGATCTTTGTTCCTCTGTGATTTAAGCAACTTACAGAGAAGCAGATGTGCCAAGGCCAATGTCTTAAGTATCGTATATATGAACACAGAAATGCGACTAAGGCTTGAACAGAATAGCTGTACCGTGTGTCTGTCTCTGTAAGCAGACCTTAGTGGACTTGCACACATTAGCTTTCCATGTTATTGTTTTCCAAGGAATCAAAACACTTCAAATACAGATAGTAGCTGGAGGAAACCTATTTCTGGTCATTCTTCCCAGCCTGGCTTACTGAAGCCATCACTGCATTATGGCAAAAGGCAGACCTTGTGTATAGCATTTCCAATCATATGAAATCAGTTGCCTGAAAGAACCACATGACATACAACATTTTGGTGACATGATGATTATGACAAAGTGCCACTGCACTGGGAGAACTTGAAATTCTGAAAAACATCAATTCTGGCTGCAGAAAAATAGATGTTCCACACAGTTCCTTTCCTATTAATTCCTTTATATCCTCCTGCTAAGCAATTCCGTTCTATACCAATCTGTTCTGCAGCTACCCTGGCACTTTGTGCCATTTAGGGTTTTTTTTTTGTAATTTAAAGAACCCGTTTCAGATGAGAAGAGGATGAATAACATTCCTTGATCTAATCATTGTATTTCACAGCATGTCTGGGTATTAGGTCTCCAGAGACACCAGGCACAACTACAGCAGCTGCTATTTTATTTTTCACAGGTACAATTATAACTGCAGTGAAAACAAGAAAGAATATTTAAGGTAGACACATTAACATCGTTTTGAAAAGCCCAAGTGCCAAACAAAGACTGTAAATTCTAGATATTTTAATATGAAAAAGAGCACATAAAATACTTTAAGCTGCTACTAGTTTGATTTAATCCATTTCTGCTCTGCCTAAAGCAGTGCGTGGTCCTTTAGAAGGGGGTGAGGAGAGCGCAAAGGCTTGAAAGTACTGTGTCAAATTTTATTAACCCTCTTGAATTTCTTTCTTCTTGCCCAAAGAATGCAGAGATTACTAGCTCCTTAGAAATGTTAAGCGAAATACTAAGTGGGAAGGTATGGTAGCTGAAACTGATTAGAACTAAATTTGCAGATCATCTGGGTTCTTCTAATGCCATCTGCAAAACACTCTGCTGCCCATGGTACAAACATGCTTTTAATCACAGCACATTTAAGACTTCAGTTTCCACTTTATATTAATTGTTCACTTGCTTCAGAAAGTAGCAGAAGATACCTGGAGGCCTGTTGATTTGGACAAAAAAGTGTTTGAAAATATTTATTTGCTTGAAAGCCATAAATTAGAGCTTTGGTCTTAAGTGAACCTGTGTTGATGTACACAGCTGAAAGCATGGCTTCATGAATTCACTTTATGCCCCTTCCTAACAATTTTTTGTGAGAGATGATTTAACTGCCCTTTGCCTATGGGCAGCAGAAAACTCAGTCTAATCCAAGTAAAAATTTCATCAGAATTGCCCAAGGAAACAACCGTAAATATAAATGTATTTTTAAAATCATTTACAAATGTAGAAGTCCAATGCTCTATACCCATAGTTGTCGAACAGGAAAATACGGTTATATTTACTGAATAGGGTTGGTGTGTTGTTTTTTTTTTTTTCCCAAATATGTACCAAAAAGTGAAACAGGAATTCAGAGTTAAAGGAAGATACGTGGAAACAAAAAGCCCTAGACTTAGCCCCGATGTTTAACTTTAGCTATGTTATTAATTATCAGCATGTTACCAAAATACTTCCCTACCACACTAGATTATTGTTGTATTTGTATTGCAAGTTGTATTTGTAAGATGTTTAAAGATTCTCCACTGAAAAGCAACATATGTAAGTAAAGATACTTTTACCAAATAATGGATTACTGTAGTACTGAATGATTAATCAAATTTTCTTTTGTCTTTTTTCTCCTTTTTGATAAATACAAACATATTTATCCATAAAATACACTGAAGGACATTGCATGAAAAAGCACAGTGTGTGGCATTTGTGGAAATACTGTTTCTATTTTACATCTCTGGGTAGCAGTCTCTCCAAATTGCCCAGCATTATGGTTCTAGTCTGGTTATCAGCCAGCTATGACAGAGGATCAATGTTGTCCTAATGGAAATGTTGCACTTCCTTTGTCATACTGTAGCAGTGATCATGAAACAATTACGTCTTGCAATTAAAGAGTGGTAGTAAAGTAAAAAATTGAAAGGAGAGAGGTAAGTCCTGACTTCTCAGTACTCCTACGTTTAACTGTTAAAAAAAGCTACACTGAAATATGACAACTCATATTCTTAAATTGCTAACTTGAATCATAAACACCAGTAAACCAGAAAACTATGTTTAGCACAAAACCAAGCTTAAGCTTCATAGTTGATCTACTGATGGTGAGCATTCTTCATTATATATAGATCTGTCAACTTGTATTAAAATTGTAAGATGAAAAAAATTAAATGCTTGTCATTAACATGTCAAAGTGGATCAGAGAAGACATCCATTTGAAAAAGGCAAGGTTCACTTAGTGCTTCTAAGATAAAAAGGCAAATGCATGCAATTATGTCAGTATTTAGATATAAAGCTGCCAATCTGAATGATAAACATGCAAAACTCTCCACTTGCTAAGATTTTGCAGTACCAAAATCAACCAACTATCAGCATCTTAGATGTCTGTTTAACACATTTCTGATGAATGAAATGTGACTTCTGAAACTGACTGACTAAAAACAGCAGAGGGCATTATTTTTCTTTCTGTGACCAGCTTAGGAATTTATGTTCCTTAACAGAAGTTCTCTTGAGGTCGTTGTAGAGCAACATTACCAGAATTGGAAAATCCAGAATAAATGTCCAAAGGGGTATGATAGCATTGTTACTGGTGTCACAGAACCAGCTCATCAGAAAAGCCTAGAAATCCCTGAAATGCCCCTATGCTATTGCTTAGCAAGCACATCTCATACACATAGAACGCAATCCTATGATGATTCTTGTGGTTTGTGATCAAGAACAGGAAAAATAAATGAATCTACTTTAAATTTTTCCTATGAGCCTATCATTTTATCCATTTAAATATTAAATCAAGTTTCAAAGAATGACAGAAGCAATAAACCCACGTTACGCAGTTATTAATATGGACATGCAAAAATTAACCAGAGAGAAATTTTTGCTCAAGTTAACACACATACATGCAAATAACTGCCTTTTTACCCAGATACTATTTTTAATTCTAACTTTTCCCTCCCTGTTTGCTTTCTTCCTTCCTGTGGTACTCGTCTTAGGAACATGCGTCAAACGTGTCTCATAAGAGGCTTCTAGTTGACTTGCAGTTTCTCTTAGAAATATATAGGTATGTATTTAGTTTTTCTCTTCTGATGGACCTAAGTGAATCATTTTTCCCTATGGTAGTTGCTTCCTGATGGCTCCTCATTGGAAAAAAATAAAATAAAATAAGATAAAATAAAATAAAATAATGAAAAAAAAAAATCCTTGCAATCAAGGTAGCATGGTGAAATGTGGGAAATAATCGTTGATGGATGTGAATATCCCCAGGAAGTTCAGAGCCATGCTGGAATGAAAAACTACTGTCCTCTCCCAGAAGTGACATTAGCCATGTCTCTTGCCTGTCACACAGGCTCATCCCTCTGCTAATGTGCACTTGAGGGTAACTAAGAGAAGCACTGTGAAAAGACACAGATAATTAACAGCAAGAGAAAGATCTGCAGTAAAGTGCTGCTCCCTTGAGGTGGTTTTAGCATCTCCACAGAAAGGTGCTGCTCTCTGAAATGATCCTGTTTGTGAGCTGAAGCTCTGTGCGATGCATTGAAAGCCCTGGTCATTTGACAGAAGAGGGGCAAAAGCACCATGTTCTTCACTCAAAAAGCATTTATCCTCAACAGACCTTCTGTCTCAGGCACTTAGCAAACAAAAATTTCCATGGCATGGTTACATTTGGTTTATTTTCACAGGAGAAAGTGTATGGAGCAAGGGTGCACCTAATATAGGTCTTGACAATCAAATAAGGGGAGGCTTGAATCTGTTTCCAAATTCAAATTAAAGACTAGTTGCTTTGATCTGCTGATTCCAGCTCCTATTTTAGCAGCCAACAGGGACCTTCTCTATCAAAGAGATATCCTTTTCAATGAGATGCTTTCTACAACTACCTGAAAGGAGGTTGTAGTGAGGGGGGTGTCAGTCTCTTCTCCCAAGTAACAAACAATAGAACAAGAGGAAATGGCCTCAAGCTGTGCCAGAGGAGGTTTAGATTCGATATTCCAAAATATTTCTTCACTCATAGGGTTGTCAAGCATTGGAACAGGCTGCCCAAGGAAGCGGTTTAATCACCCTCCCTGGAGGCATTTAAAAGATGTGTACATGTGGTGCTTAGGGACATGGTTTAGTGATGGACTTGGCAGTGCTGGGTTAACGGTTGGACTTGATGATCTTAAAGGTCTTTTCCAACCTAAGCAATTCTATGATTCTATGCACTTAAAAAGAAAAGGTGGCCAGTATCCATTACCCTTGAGTGGGGCTTATCTTTTGCAGAAATACATAGTTCCAAACTTATTTCTGGCTCATGCATTAACAAGCAAAGAGCTCTCTCTCTGTTTCTGGACTTCCTCCATGTGTTGGACAGACTATAATGTAATACTTGGTTGGAAAACAAGGAAATATTCTGTTTTAAACATGTTATACCTTTAATTTAAAACTATTCTCTACTCTTTTGCTTCCCCTTGGAAAATTGCCAAGCAGATATATATTTGAGTTCTGGGAGCAGACCTCAGTTTACAGCCTTCCAACAACAGCTTGCACTTGGTAAGGGGTAGATATACACTGGCTGCTTGCCCAGAGGTTCCCTCTTGCCTTAGGTGGCATAGAGAACAGGAGAGAAGGACACAGTGAATCTTTACTGCTAATTATGTAAGGCGTAAGGAAGATAAATTATATGCTGACATAGTATTGGGGAAACACATTTTCTGAATTCCAAAACCAATTCCATTATCTCTTTGTGCTATCTAACTGTACAGAAAGATTTCATATCCATTAAGACTCATTTACAGCAAAACTTTAGCAGACTGGCAAGTCTGTTCCACTTACGACATCTACTTAAAGTTCTAAGAGGTTACCACCTTAAGAGTGTTATTAGTTATTTGAATCCCTGTCTACTAAGGTGACAAGAATGCCACATATATTTTTCAGTGATCCATTTGATTTCACTTGTTATGAGTTCTGTCTTATGAATCATTAATTTCAAATAAATAAAAAATATTCCAGGCCCACTTTCATCTCTAGAGCTATCTAGTACTAAGATCCCTCTAGCCCGTGTTATGCAGTGGTCTGCTGAGTCCTTTGCTGAGTACTGTAGTATTGAGTTAGCAGGGTATAGTATAACATCAGATAAAAGGAGCAGAAAAAATGGTAAAAATAAACGATAGGCAATTGTGGTGTTATGTGTCATAACTAGATGAGGGATTTTCTGCTGGTAAAATTTAGAAAAGGAAGGAAAATACACTTTTCTAAGTGGCTCCAGCTTATCATCTATAATCACAGCTTTGTAAGGCCATAGGGAGATGGCAAAAGAAGTTTATTGTTACAGTAATAGTGTAGATTATGAACGGTGCTACACATATGGCATGTGTGGTTCTTTTCCATTTCAACAGGCTTCCTACTGCTCAGGAAGGCAAAATACGTTAAACCTATCGCTACTTATTTTCTTCCCACAGGAATTTTTTTTCCTTTTTTGATTTTTTTTCTTTTTTTCCCCCTTTACTATGAGACTTATTTTCCAGCATTTTGCTAACTTTTATCTGAAGCATTGAATGATTAGGTCCTGAATCTGACCACATTGCTCTTAAATTCCACTTGCAGATTTGGAAAAGCACTTCCGTAAACAACCAGTAAGTTATTTAAGTTAATATCTACTGGAGTTATTTAAGGAAAACCTACAAATGTAGGTCTCTCTAGCTGTAAAAGCTGCCTCTACAGGTTAACTAAGAGCAAAGAAAACATATATGTTCATGGCATAAATAAGACATCAGCAGAACAGAGTCTGCATACCCCTTTCCCTCTCAATGTGAGAAATTGCAAGTAGATAAGATGTGAAGAGTGGGAAAAAATTGGCACATTTACTTGGTTTAATTTATTTATGATACAATATTGAACATTTAATGTAAAATTAAGTACATTTAATGGCTTATTAATTACAGAATAGAGAATATACTACTCTTGATTCATACATTTACATAATGTAAGTGTTATTATATATCAATAAAACATTTACTGTTGATTACATACTTCATCTATTCATCACACCAACATTTTTCTAAGTGCTATACATTATTTATGTAATGTATCACTAATTACTGCAACACCAATTTTTCCTCTTTTGAACAGCCTCTTCAACTCATTTGTGTCAGGTCTTGCCAAATTAATTAGGATGCTGTGCATCCCATTATTTAACTGTATTCAGATTTTGCACTGCTGCACTTTGGTTGGAAAAAAAGAGATTGCCCTGTTTCTTAAATAGTTATCAGCGAGCACTATTTCTAGCTTTGTCTTTACCACCCAATGTACCTGGGCACACTATCAGATGCTGGCAACACACAATGAACAAAGCGGTATCAATGACTCATTAAAAAAGGTTACTGGCTAGTGCAAAAATAATACAGCACATTATCTAGCTTTATCACATGACCTTATTTAGCAAGTTATTAATATCCTTACCTTAAATACAAGTTCTCCTATCAGTCCGTTCCATGACCCATCATCCTGAGGACTCCCATACTTGTGATCTGGTGCAACGTAGATTTCATATTTAAAGCCAAGGTAAGTAGCCAAGGCTTCCAACACATCTATTGAGAAGCCTTGATATTTCTTCGGTTTTCCCAGAACATTTTCAGACACCATGACAAAGGGCTCTTCCTAAATGGAAAACAAAGAAGCCAACTGTTAGTAAAGAAATTACATCCCACACGTGGGTGCCTTTGGCTGGACAAACACTGTATCTGGCAAACACAACTAGTAAGTAAGTCATGGTGTCAGGAATGAAAAACATGGCAAAATAGGCCATACCAGAGAAACATGCATTTTTCTTGTCCTTATACTGTAATCTGAATATGAAATGGTTGGTTTTAAATAGTCCTATCCAAACAGCATCCATTTGATTAGTTTAAGAAGAACCAATTCTGGGACCTAAGTTTGTCTATGAGAATGACTGGCGAATATTCATCACAAACATCCATCACAAAGGATACATATAGATACTGAAAGTAGGAATTGGTTGGCAAGACTTCTGAACAATATGCTTTTCTTTTCCTTCTCCCCAGGATCGTGTTATAGATTAGTATTTCTAATAAAATTTTCAGAAAGAAATTGGTTTTTGCTAGTTTTTAATATTTTTTATTAATATTTCTAATAACATTTTCAGAAAGAAATTACTTTTCAGTTAATTTTCTCCCTCCCCCCTTATTCTTTCTGTTGAGTGTTCAATTACTAGACATTCTTCACTTTTAATGAAACACAAATAGAGATCATATCTCTGAACACAACAAAAAAATAATATTTGCCATAGATGGATCTCACTTATTTTTGTTCTTTATTTTCTCTGAGAATATCTGTCTGATCTACCCAAGTGGAGCAAAAGCACCAAATCTCTCAAAAAAGCATGAGGGAACTGTAACACCTTTTTTTTAATTTTTATTTTTATTTTTTAAACTATGCTACATTTTTGTCTTTTAATTCTTTAAATGGTGCTGTAATTTAGTATGAGTTTATCAGAAACATCTATTGTGAGGTGCAAGATGTTAGTTCTGGCTCATTGTGGCTTGGCCATGACAAGCACATGAAATCACTTCCTGAGCAATTCCTCACAGCCTACATAATCCACAAGCACACAGAAAACAGATTTTTCTGTAGTATTTGTGGCCCAAACTTTAATTGTATCTCCAAATGCATTTCTGTTGTTCTTTAGATTTTTTTTTCCCCCTCTATTATTCTATTACTCATGTCTTCAATGACTTTGAAGCTAAAGGTAATTTTCACAAATTTTTCACTAAATGTACCTAAATATTGTTAGTTTGGTAGTATGTCATTCTGTGTGAACAGATATCACTGAATTGTAGGCAGGATGTTCTCAGAATAAGAAAGCATCATTTGTAAATGCTTGAGTTAACATTCATGAGGACAGCCACATGCTGAGGATGCTGCCAAAGAAGCAAGGATTTAACCAGGCTGCACTGGCAGGATGCTCTTCTCTGTCTGCAGTAAAACCAGAAAAAAACCCTCAACTCCCCAAAACAAACCAAAACGCAAAACAAATAATACAAAACCCAAACAAATAAAAACAAACAAACAAAACCCCACAAAGAATAAATAAATAAATAATAATTAAAAAAAAAAACCCCAATCAAACCCCCCCCCCCACAAAAAACAAAAAACCAAAACCCAATCAAAGAAAGAAAGAAAGAAAAAAAGGCAGAAGGGCTGACTGTCTCAATTTATTATTTCCCAGTTCTCAGAATTTCTTTCTCCCAAATTATCCAAGATCAGCCAAATGGAATAAAAATGGAGGACAGCAAGTGCATGTGATTTTTTAGAAGTAGCTTTCCAGTGCCTGGGTTCCAACTATACTGAAGAAGTTGAAACTAAGTTTATGAAAGCCTCTCCTAAATGAGAACAGAGAGTGAATTGAGCCTTGCTGATCACTTGGATGAGAGATTCCCTATATGCAGACTCAAAACTACTGGAAAAAAATGTTTCCACAAAAAATAAATACTGTAATTTATCAATCTAAGCACACTACGCACAAAATTCTAAAGATTTGTGTGTACAAAGGGTATCTCAGGAGTTGATAACTTTCATATTAGAAAGGATTTATTCTTATCACTTCTAAGTTATTAGAAAATAATTGCTCATAAACTAAATTTTTGTTCAGTTAGTTACAAAGCAATTTTTAATTGTACTGATTTAAAGCGCTCTTTAAAATGCAGCTTGTCATGACTAATTTCAGTGTTTTATTAAGCTATGTAATACTGTTTGCTGTTGAGAGATTTATCAAGAAACCCCCAATGTCCAGTGTGCTATATATTTAATGAAATATAAATAGTCAAATAGCTTTAAGCAAACCAACTAATACTTCCCAATTTCTGTTGAAGCCTGAAGCAGCAAAATATTTAATCATATTCCAACCCAAACAAAACAAATCTATTGCTATGCAGGGTTTTTTTGTAAATGTTTACACTTCTCAAAAGGCACTGAAAGATGATAAAAATATTTGTCTTTAATTTTTCCCCTTTTAAAAGCTGCAGGCTGAAGCTATGCCTGTTGTCCTTTTGCACACTAAGAGGGTGCTATGGGAGTTGCTATAGAAAGCCATATACATGCCATCAATATTGGTGTTAAAATGATTGTCTCCAACCTTAAGAAGGCAGATCTTGTAGAAAGGAAATATGCAAAACAAAACCAGCCAAAACATTTCTCACCTACTGAAGAGAAAAATAATATGACCAAAAAATAAGCTCACAGAAAATAGGTGTCAAAACCTGCCAAGCTAACTGATGAATTTGGAGGTGGCAAAATTCACCTGGATGATGAAGCTTCCATTCTACCCAAAAAAATTCAAGAAAATCCTGATACATTTTCTCTCCAAAGCAAGTGGTAATTTAGACTATATAAGCATGTCTTTCTCAGAGAAACCATACAATCATGATCCTTGCAGATATACTCAAAACTCAGCTGGACAGTCCTGAACAAACTGCTTTAACACTAACCCTGCTTCACACAGATGCCACCCAAGGGTCCCTTCAAACCTAAATTATTCCTGGATGCAGTGAAGTAATACAAGGAAGGCCACTGTTCCTGCTTTTCCTTTTCTTCTGCTTTTGGAGCACTTCTCTAGGGGACTGATGAGCCTCTGTGAGGCAAGAGCAGACTTTACAGCTGTAAAGCCAGGGAAGTCTGGAAAAGCAAAGAAGTCACAATCTGCATGACTGAGGAAGGAAGAAAGAAAGGAAAGAATGAATTGCTCTCCCTTCACTTCTTGATTTTGCAAGATGGATGATCTGCCTCACTGGGCCCCACAGCCGTCAGATATATTTAGGGGATGGCTTTGCATCCAACCTCAGTGGAGATCCTTTTAATAGAGAAGCTACTTTCCTTCTGCTTTACCCCCAATGTGCTTTCTTGTCAACTGACATTACTAAGCCCTTGATAAGGGCTCCTTCTCAGAACAACTGCACAATTCTCACTTGCTGTTTTCTTCTCAGGATCTAAGATATGCTGCCCTCCTAAGAAGAGGATAGATTTAAAACTTGATGTGGATCCAAAGGATTTCACATAATCCTGTGTGAAATGTGGGTTAACCCTGGTAGACAGCTAAGCACCACACAGCTTGCAGCAAAATGAGTCAGTAGCAAAGAGGTAAAATTTCTACTAGAATCATAAAATCAACTAGGTTGGAAAAGACCTTTAAGACCAAGTCCAACCTTTACCCTAGGACTGCCAAGACTAAACCATGTCACTGAGAGCCTCATCTACACAGTTTTTGAACACTGTCAGGGTCAGTGATTCCACCGCTTCCCTGGGCAGCCTGTTCCAACAACCGATTACCCTTTTGGTGAAGAATTTTTTCCTAAATCTCCTCTGGCACAGCTTGAGGCCATTACCTCTTGTCCTGTTGCTTGTTACTTGGGAGAAGAGACCAACCCCCACCTCACTACAACCTCCTTTCAGGTAGTGGTAGAGAGAGATAAGGCTCCCCCCAATACTAGGTGAAGCTGTGCATATTGCTTTTTACAACTGTAAGAAGTCGAAGTCTGGTTCAAGAGATGATTACCCCCTGAGCAAAAGAAGCTGCAAAATACTAGCAGACTAGCACTATCTTAGGAAGGCTAAAGGCAGACCCAAGTTAAAGCAACATGGCATAAAACCCCAAAAATGTTGGGAAAGATGACAAGATAGTACAAGTACATTGGAGAAGCAGCTCACAAAAACACTTGTCTCCATTCATTTGCCTATTATCACTAGGTTTATAAAACCTTTTAAGGAAGAAGTTACACATTGAAAAGCTACACATCTTCTTTCCACCAGATCAACTAGCTACCTTCTCATGCAACAGCTCTGCTGATGCTTGGTTCCTTAATTAATTCAACCACTCAGTCATCACAAATCTACTCAATTTTGTCAGGTGAGTTAATGTAATTGCCAGAGGTCCAGAAAAATACCAGAGCCAGACAAGCACTGGAGTAAGACTGTACAAGCAGAAGTGAAGGAAGTACCACGAATGTGCCCAAATCTATATTCAGATGTTCAACATGATATTATTTGAGCACATTTCACAAATTAGGATTTATCACTGAAATACTTGGTTGAGTAAGAAGAATTATCATTGAAATTTTGCATGTGAAATTTTTCACATACAAAAGTGAAACCAAGGGACAAACGCCTTAACCATAGACTGTTTTCCTTTTGTCTTAGTGCTTTCAAACACTTATACTTACAACTATATCTGTGTTCTGGTGAACCATGAGTGTAAGAGCAGGAAAACCAATAGCAGAAAGCAAGCATTATATGAGAACTAAGGAAAGTGGGATCCAAAAGATGAGGTCTAGACCCAGGGAGATAAAAGTCTTATTCTTGAAAGGACTGCTTCCCAGCATTAAAATTGTAACGTGCCCTAGTCCAGGGGGAACTGATAACAGGGCAATATCGGCACAAAAAGGAATGTAACACATCCAAAACCCATCCTTCAACCCTTGCCCTGAATTTTACGCAGGGTAGACGGTAGAGAATTTATTTGGTTTTATTTTAAACATAACAGTGTTAATCAGAAGTTGATAGTATTGTTCTTGGAGCAGTCTAGATTAAAGACTAGTATAAAGAAATGCTGCTCTTTCTTGCTTTTTTCCAACAAGATAAAGGGCTAA